CAATACAAGAGCAGCAAAGAAACAAGAAGAGAAATTACAGCAGTTCTTGGAGGAAAAGAAAAGAACAAGAAGAGAAATTACAGCAGTTATTAGAGGAAAAAGAAAAGAAACAAGAAGAGCAAGAGAATAAACAAGAAAAGCAACAAGAAGAGCAAGAGAATAAACAAGAAAAGCAACAAGAAGAACGAGAAAATAAACAAGAAGAGAGATCACAGCAGTGGCAAGAAAACTTGCAACAGTGGCAGCTCGAACAGCAAAATAAACAAGAAGAAAGATTACAACAGTGGCAAGAAAACTTGCAACAGTGGCAGCTCGAACAGCAAAATAAACAAGAAGAGAGATTACAACAGCTATTGGAGGAGAAAGGAAATAAACAAGAAGAGAGACTACAACAGTGGCAAGAAGTACAAATGGAAAACATTAGTAAATTCAAAAGCGAATTAGATACATTAAAGGATGATTCATTGTCTTTTACACAAGGAAAACACATTAACCGTCGACTTAACCAGCCCCAGACAATGACAAGCCCCTTCCACACCCCACAGCTAAACCCTAATGCAGACATATTCAGTCCCGTTCGAAGTCATATCCCAGATATGAATGTCAGTAATAGGAGTGATCCAGTACGAAGGAAGCCACAGGAATACGATGGGAATGCATCGTGGGAAGCATATAGAGCACAATTTGAGCTACTGGCAGAGATGAATGGATGGACAGAGGAGCAGAAAGCAGTATATCTGGCAACGAGCTTGAAGGGACAACCACTGGAAATACTTGAACAGTTGTCAGCAGACGACAAGCACAACTATAGAGCACTGGTAGCGGCTCTAGAACGCAGGTTCGGAACCCAAAATCAGTCAGAAGTCTACAGGGCTAGATTGAGGACGAGAGTCCGTGCTAAAGGGGAGAGCCTGCAAGAGCTGGCTCATGACTCGGAAAGCATGGCACACAAGGCCTACCCAACTGCACCACCCGATCTCCTCAAGTTGTTGCTGAGGGATCAGTTCGTAGATGCCTTGTACAGTCCACAACTTAAGATATACGTGAAGCAAGCACACCCCTCTACCATGCAGGATGCAATGGCCAGAGCTCTTGAATTTGAATCCTACGTTCAGCCCAGAACAGAAGTACCAAGGTTGGTACAGTCATCTGGATTCAAAGCCAGAAAAGGTCAGCTTTCAGGGAAGTTTGAGGGACTTTGCTCGCACTGTAACAAACCTGGGCACAAGAGAGCTCAATGTTGGCAACATCAACACAAGGAAGATTCCACAGCAAGGCAGGCTGCTACCCAGAAAGGTTGTTGGAACTGTGGAAAGCAAGGACATATGAGGAGCCAGTGTAGGAAGAATATTACCAACAAGTCAGCCTCAAGGAGACCAGTAGTGGTTGGTGTTGAGGGACACTCACCAACCCCCATCGTGAAAGTCCCAACAGCTAGGAGTAAAATGCCAGCGTCTATGTGACAGGAAAGCTGGATGGCCAAAGGTGCAACTATGTCATTGACTCTGCGTCTCAGCAAACCCTTGTGAGCATCAAGGTGTTAGATCACGAAGCAGCACCAGAAGCCATACAGAAGCTTTGTTGTGTGACAGGACATTCTGCAGGGTTGTGGGGACCAGTGTGGGTAACTATTGAGCTCATGGGCATAAAGAGCAGACACAAAGTATACTTGGCTGGCATTGAAGACGAATGCGTATTAGGATTGGATTACATACTACCGAGGAAGTTTGTAATTAATTTTGATAAAATGATGTTTGGGAACAACAAAGGCCAATTTCCGGTACCTGTTAAAAGAGAGGTTGAACAAATTAGGTGCCATCAAGCAGAAGTCAAGCCGACTGAAAAAATTGATGATGATAAGTGGAATCAAATATAGATATCAAAGCAGAACAGGGGAAAGATCAAGATTTGAAGCCAATAATTGATTTCCTAAAAACAAGTGTTTTGCGCCCTGCTTGGAAGAAGGTGTCTAGTCTAAGCTCTGTGATAAAACACTATTGGGTACAATGGGACCAGCTAAAGCTTGAAGTCCATGAAACTTTTTCTATATAAATATAACAGTACTGCCAGTTGTCTGTTAATGTAATTACTTCTATATAAATATAATAGTACTGTCTGTTGTCTGTCCATATAACTACTTCTATATAAATATAATAGTACTGTCATTTGTCTGTCCATGTAACTACTTTTATATAAATATAACAGTACCGCTTTTGTATGTGATGTAACTACTTCTATATAAATATAATAGTACTGTCTGTTGTATGTTCATGTAACTACTTCTATATAAGTATTACAGTACGGTCTATTGTATGTTCATGTAACAACTTCTATATAAAGTATAATAGTACTGTGTGTTGTATGTTCATGTAACTACTTCTACATAAATATGATAGTACTGTTTCTTGTATGTTAATGTAACTACTTCTATATAAATATAATAGTACTGTCATTTGTCTGTACATGTGACTACATTTTTATAAATATAATAGTCCTATCTGTTGTGTGTCAATATCACTAGTTCTATATAAATAAAATAGTGCTGTCTGTTGTATGTTCATGTAACTACTTCAGTATAAATTTAAAAGCACTTTCTGTTGTATGTTCACATCACTACTTCTATATAAATGTAATAGTACTGTTTCTTGTATGTTCATATACCTGTTTCTATATAA